GACTGAACGTGAACGCGCCCCAAGCCATGCCAGCGCGCCCCGGCCCATGCTAGCTGCCTCTCCTAAAACACGCACACGTAACACGTCTGTCCAGAAAACCTTAATGCACTCCAACTGAATACTAGGCAATATCATTCACAGAGATATAGATGAAACACATTAGATTCTATCTAACTACATGCTTTTAAATCTTGCAGTCATAACTTCTGTCCAGTTATATCACAAACACGCTAGAGTTTGACTACAGGTTTTGCATATAAAACCTAACGTGCGTATGCTGCATAAAAGCAGAATAGAGAAGTAACTTTTGGTATCGATACGTTATATCTCAAAGTGAATCTTGCAACTGATTTTATCACTTTTAAATCAGGTTTTATTACGTTTTTACGCAAATAACAACATAACACGTTATTCACCTGTTGCAATAATCGACAAAATTCATATCAATAAAACATTAGGAAATTGACACTATTGTTAAACCGAATGACATCTGTCAGTTTTATTTATTTTTATCACTGCGAAGTTTTTATTATAAAAACTAGCTTTCGCCCGCGACTCTGTTCACGTAGAAATAAAAAAAAGAAACAAAAGTATTCTTTCAGACTACGTTCTACATTATACCAAATTTCATCCGGATCCGTCCAGCCGTTTTTGCTACAAAAATCCATCCATCTAAACATTCGCATTATAGTCAATACAAATAAGTGTAGGTAAGTAAGAGAAACTATTATAAAAATTAACAAGAGCTTGTATTTTAATCTGAGTTCGACTTAGAAGTTACTTTTATTACGGACAAGCTACAGTAAAAAACATGAAAGGAAAGCAATAATTTTTGTCTCCAGAATTCAACTATCGGCCGTTAGTATACATTGGTATCCGCTATTGTTAAGAAAAAAGTCACCAACAAGCTATACGAAGCCTCGTTTTTTTAGTAAACAGAAGTAATTTTTGTAGCGTAGCAACCAAGCATCGATAAAACAATTAAAAACTGCTGAAGCTAGTTACTGAACCAATGTGAGCATTCTTTATAACTAGTTTTTATTATAATTTTAAAATAAAAAATGTATACAAGGTAAATACGACATGTAATTATAAAATATATTTAAGTAACTGGTTGCTATTAAAATTAAAAATGAAAAAAAAATATTTTTTCCTGTCACTGTTATCCGAACAGTTTCACGTGAAAAAATGTTTTAACGTTAAATGTGATTAAATCTTCTTTCATTTGTTCTATTAATTAATTAAGTATGGCGGAACGGCCGAAAAGGGTCAAAGTAGCCTGGAGCGACGACCTTAGTCATGACTCTGAAGAAGAGAGAGGTAATTATAATTTTAGTAGCTTACGCTCGCGAATGCGTCTGCGTGGAATTAAAAAAATTAAGCCTATCTGTTTTTCCAGACTATGCTCTACATCTATGCCAAATTTCATCGAGTTCCGTTCAGCGCTTTAGGCTACAAACTCTAACAAACATCCATCCATCTAAACTTTGGCATTTATAATATTAGTAAGATTATAAGCTTAGCAATGCCGAAAAGAATACAAAAATATTCTTTTCTACATAACAAAAATTGCAATTTAAATATGTAAGTGACACTTTAGAGATAATTGTCGCTAAAACGCCAATATCTTTAGTTAAATAAAATCTTTTCCAGAACGGGAACGCATTGCTCAGTTGGAGCGTGAATTAGCAGAACAACCCGTGAAGCCAGTCTATCCAGAAGGAGATCTGGAAAAACTGATAGGTTTTATCATGAGAATGACTACACTTTACGACCTTAGAGACGAAGATTGGAACCAGGGGACAAAGGATAAGATCGAGGAATGGATTTTAGAACCTCGCTCTCTTATGCTCTGCATCTTCTTTAGAGGCGAAGTATTAAAGGCTTCTCTAGATATACCCCTTGCCCCTGTATACGATTTGATGTATTTTATCCGACCACCGGATTATGTTTTTAAAGTCGAGACATTTCATGATGATGTTATTTTCGGCACTTTCGTTTATTCTGTTGAATCAAACATGATACAGGTCTTGGAGTCGGTTTTTGCTCCTTATTTCTTCGCTGTAACTACTTGGCCGGAGAGTAAGTAAATTTTAGTTTGAGGTTCGACCTTTTAAGTTCTCTTTGGTTACTAAAATAAGACAGATTTAAAGAACAAACCTTGACACTTAATACATTATTTCAGGCGTAAAGAGTGAATTTTGTTCTCACTTACACACTTTTCTCGCAAAATTAACGGACATGTATTACAAAATGTTGGGGCTGACCGTCTTGTACATCCCACGCGAAGGCCAGCAACTCTCTTTCGAGCAGGCGAGCGCTGACCGCGAGCTGGTGAAGAGGCTAGAAGGTGTGGTGGTCTACTGGACGCACCAAATCAAATCTTGCGTAGAAGACCACGCATCCGTGTCTTCCCAAAAGGAACTACTATGCCCTAGTGATGAGTATGACTTTTGGGTTTATAGACGTAAGTTTTCTTTAAACAACAAAGTATTTCATTAAATATTATTAAAGTGTTTGCTTATTGCCATCTTCTTTCAGATGAAAACTTAAACGCTCTGCTATACCAACTGCAAAATCCAGCTGTAAAGCACATTACTAAGATCCTTGTGACAACACATTCCACTTTCATACATCAATTCCAAGCGCTGTGCGAAGAAATAGTGCAGAAGATTAAAGAGGCGACATCGAATATTGAATTTTTGCAAGTCATCAAACAACCCTGCGCCGTACTCGAGTGTGTCGTCGACCCTGATAAAATTTCAAAGCATATCCCACAAATTATAAACCTATTCAGATTCATCTGGATGGAGTCTCCAAATTACAACTCTGAAGCTCGTATTACGAACCTGTTCAAGGCACTTAGCAACCAGATTATAATTCTATGCAAGAACTACATCCAGTTGGACGATCTCTTCGAAGGTCAGACGAAGAAGGCTCTCGGTGAGTTCAGCAAGTGTATAGACTGCTGCAAGAAGTACAGGGAGATTTATGACGTGATGGTGGAAGCACACACAGCAGAGAAGCCTGGCAGCTGGGAGTTAGATTCAGGATCTATTTTCAATTACATTGACTCGTTCATTCAGCGATGTTTTGATATGCTTGATGTTTGTAATTGCATGATTATATTCGGAAGGTAAGAAATTTAATACGAGATGAATGGAAAATCCATTTTAGTATCTTCAATTTAATTTATAGCAAAGGTTAACTTATTTATAGAATCGATGAAATAGAACAGATAAATAAGCCGATTTTTGCGGGCGCTAACGGCGACCAGTTCGAGGCGAAGTGTGACCAGATTGAAAAGATGTTCAGCGTCGCGCTGGGGTTGGTGAGGAAGGTTGCGCACACCATACTTGATGTGCAGGCACCGTCGTGGTACGACGACATACTGCAGTTCAGATCAACGATAAAAGATATCGAGGTAAGTAAAATTTTAATGCTGTTAAATCCAACCATGATAGAACCATATCTTGGTACTCCATAATTAAAAGCCGATATTTCCTGGTTAGCCAATACACTATTACAGCTAAGGCTATAAGTGTTACGTTGTTTTCAGATAATAATTGAAAACCTGGTGGAATCGGTGTTCGAGGGCGTCAACCACGTGGAAGAGGCGGTAGTGGCCCTCTATTCGCTTCACAACTACTCCCGAAGACAGAACTTGAAGCGTATCTTCAAAAGGAAGACTGCTGAAGTAAGCGACTAGCGACTGCTATCTAAATCTTCAATTTCAATTTTATTTTATGACTAGCTTTTCCAGGAATTCTGCGTTAGTTGTCTGTACTTAACTTCTGTTCAGGTGTGGGCAATGTTCAGCGACGCAGTGCAAGAGACCAAGAAGGATATGGTGTCGACCCGCGGCCAATACCCCTCCGATCTGCCGCCGTTCGCAGGAAAAGCTGTGGTACTCAAGACGAGGAAGAATAGATTGATTTATTTAAAAAATGTACGTTAAACCAAAACAAAACTCACATAAAAAGGGGAAATTTAAATACGTAGGTCAACTAAGTGTTAGAGGTTAAAGAGGTGCAACTGATTTGCTGCGATATCACAACGTGTTGTCATTTGATTTTTATAGGTGATGCGTGACGCGTCCGTGTGGATGATGAAGTGCAGCAGCTCAGAAGATGTGATCATGCATGTCAACCGTCTCGTCGGCGCCATCGACGTCAACATACGCGAGATTTGGATAGCTTGGACGGTGAGCCTTTACTATCCCCCAATTCCGTTGCTAAAAACCGTAGAGTTTAGATCCTTTACCTGACGATTGGCCACCATTAAACAGTGGTCTTAATGTTAAAAGTATTTCTAAATTTGTAGTTTAAGATGGTCTACTGTAACGTTTTATTGCAGCACAACCTTGACGAAAGATGTAGCGCTGGTCTGAACAGAACGTTAATGAGGAAGAGCTCTGAGAACGCGGGCCTAATGGAATGCAATATGGACGTGTTAGTATACCGGTGCAAACATTTTTAAATTTCTTTAAATAATTTGTAAATGTTAATGTAAAATTACAGAAATATACTAGAGCTGTGTAAAGAAGCTACGCATTGGGAGAACCTGGGCTTGGATATACCACTGCACGCGTTTCAGGTACAAGCATATTTGCAAATAGAAATCCTTATTATAGAGAAATTTTTGGTACAAAAAGTATAGTAACCAAAAAAAAAATGTCCCTTAAGAAGGACGTCTTATTGTTATGAGATATCTTCTTTCTGTCCCCTGTTGATAAAGGTAGACAACGCATTTGTAGACACAGATGTTTGTGAGCTGCGGACGCTTCGCTAATTGCAGTGGTCGAGAGTAGTGTACCGTATATGAGGAGAAAAGAACACAATTAAAACTTATGTGATGATTTAAGGTGTACATGAAGAGTAAGACGCTGCTGTACGTATACGAGAACGTGCTGGCCGTGGTGAAGGGCTACAACAAGATATTAGACTCACTCTCTGAACCGGAGAGGCTTCTTTTCAAACCACTCATATCTGTAAGTATTGGAATAAACTAATAAACAAACGATTAATTAATAATTAATCAATTAAGTGATAATTAATCAATTAATTATTAATTTATTTTTGACAAAATTTAAAAGATTGACTAATTATTTGCTCTATATTCAGTTACATGTAATTTTATTTTTACATTAATTAATAATTAATTTTTAATCAATTGATTAATTCTATTATAAATTAGTCAATCTTTTATATTTTGTCAAAAATATATTAAACCAATCTAAAAAAGGCGTAAACAAAGTAATAAAAAATATTGATTCATAGAATATATATTTTAACTTCAATAAAAATAAGAAAATCACTTTAATACAACAACAATCAGTCTTTTTATTCAAATAATCACATAATTTCTTCTTAATTATCAAGAAAATATAGATTTTGTTTATTATGAAGATAAGCAGATATCTAAATGTTGGTTCATATGAATTTGTTCAATCATTTTAAGACAGCACGGACAAGGGCATTTGGTCCCAGTTTCATTGTATGTTTGTGTCTCATCGATAACATCATCGTCATCAATAACTATTGTGTCCATAATAAAACTAGAAGCACCTTCTTCTGGTATCGTAGTATTATTATCAAAGAACGAAATACATTCATCTAAATGTTCTGCTACAGATTTTTCAATAATTTTACCGCAACATGGACAATTATGTGATAACACTGAATCGGCATCTTTACTGCAACCCGGTTCTATTTTAACTGTCTTGTTAATGAAAGTATTGTCTACAAAAGATGCTTGGCTTTGATCGTTACTTTTGTCTATAGGTTCAGTTTTTATATTAACTGGTTTTAAATCTTCAGGACTAATTGATGTAGTTTTTTCTGTTTTTATATCACCTTTAGTTATTTTTTCTATAATATCTTTATTTAAACATTCATCTAAATGTAAGTTTATTTCTTCTTCGTTTATTTGAACACTGCATATCGGACAACTAACTAATTTTATCTTAGATGCAATTAGTTTTTTACTTTTATCTGATTCGGTAATTTTAAAATCTTCACCATAAATATCTTTTAATACTGTTGTAGCTACGTTTTTAAAATAATCATCTATTTTCCTTATTTTACTTGGAGGGGATTTTATAATAGAATCTCTTGTTTTTCTGTTCTTTGGGTTATCAGATTTTATATTGGAATTATTTATGTCCTTGGACTCTCTGCTATCTTTAACAGGAAATTGTTTGTTTGTCCATACATTTCTTACAGTCTCTAAAACGTTGGATTGGAGAGTTTTTCCACTATCTTTTTTATCAACTTGAGAAACAAACTTATCTATATTACTATAACCAGTGACTTCAATAGTTTTATTTATACCTTTACTAGGTTTAGCTGGTGTGTTTTTATTTAATATATCTTTATTATTATTTATGTACTTAGTTACATTTTCTTTGGGTTTTGTTTGTTTTGTAGTTGTAGTCTTTGCTGGTTCTTTAATCTTAACAAATGTACCTCCACATGTTTTTTGATGTTTACTCCACCAGTAGTCAGATGGGCCGGGCGCTCTGTTTGCTGACCGACGCACAACGCCGAAATATGGCTTCTGTTTCTGACATGGCCCGTTGCAACGCCACCAATGTGTTTGGTATAATTTCACCTAAAATTATGTTTTTTATTGTTAAACAGTTGATTAGATTTTTACCATGACAACAAACTCGGTAATGTTTGAAAGGTTGATTACTTATCAAAAGCAAAAAGTTTATTAACTAAACAGATTTATAAAAACACAATTTTATTATTATAGTTGCTTTTGCCCGCGGCTCCGTCCGCGTGGAGCAATAAAAAACAAAAGTGAGGAGTCTATGTGTTCTTCCAGACTATCCTCTACATCTACACCAAATTTCATTGAAATCCATTCAGCCGTTTAGGCTACAAACTAACAAACAGCCATCCATCTATCTAAACTTTTGCATTTATGATATTAGTATGATTTGGTTTGCAATAATGTTTCAAAATCTTTAAATGGCCTTTCATTATCATCTGAGGCACTAGTCATAGGGGGCCTGGGCCTGGTCTAAATTAAACAATGGCCTTTATTTGCTAAATTATACTTATTTAAATTAATAAAGATAAAAACCACATACCTCATCATGAAAATCATGATAAATACTTATATTAACACCTGCTAATTTATTAATTCTATACATATGTTCTTTAAAGTTTGGCCCATGTCCATCTCTGTCCCTATCACTGTTGGTTACAAAGAGATATGCGTGGATCATCTCATGTAAGAGGGTTTCGATGAGATCTTTTCTTGGCCGCAGTTTGAGCAAAGGTTCACTGAGTGCTATATCACAGAAACGACTTCGACATTCATACCTGAAATTAATATGAATGTTAACACAATGGTTGTCTATGGCCTAGTCATTCCGTATTAAGGGTTCTGAGCCCCTTATTGGGGAAATAGTGAGCTAGTTATGTTTGATTAATACTAAGATTACTTAAAAATCAAATATATTTTACTTTTTAAACCCAATTTGTATGCTCAGTACAGTATTAACTAACTAGTCAAACTATTCAGTTTAAAATATGTGTGCAGGTAAAGTTTAATTTATTTACATTGTTCAGTTAAAGTTTGACTTTTCAAGTACAATTTGACTTGAACAGTCAAACTGTTAGAACAGCGTTAGTTTTAGCACATATACCCTTTCACGTAAACATAACTTTGGATTCTGAACATGTAATTTCAACAGGGGAATATCTCCTGTAACTTTGTCCAGTAACACTTACGAGCAGACACCAGCACAGGAGTACATTCTCTTGCTCCATCGGACCACAACCCTGTTTGCTAATTTCGACCAAAAAAATAACTTATCAAAATGTAAAAACAAACTGTGCACGTCTGGAGTAGGATCTATCAACTCTAGTTCAGGATCTGCTAAATTCATTACACCATTTCCGGTTTGCAGTTTATACATTTTACGTATGTGTATTATGACGAAAACAAAATTAAATTAATATTAATGATTAATATTTGTATCATTTTGTTCTTATTTGGGTATTTTAAATTCCAACCACCAATCGTGACAGTGACAAGCCAGATGTTTTATATGTCAAATGTCGGTCTTCTAAAGTCAATGGATGACTTTCCATTTTCAAATATCGTGCTGCCAGGTTGTAAGAAATTGCTTCAAATTAGGGAGTTTTAAAAAGTGTAAAGCAATCGTATAAAGTGCATTTTTAATTAATTTTATGCGAGGATGACAAAAGTCCTTGTAAAGTGTACAATTATGTCTGATGAATGTAAACTTATTTTTAGGCGTGTGAGAGAAAAGTACAACCAGGAATTTCCAAGTTGACTTGGACGTCTACCATGTCTGACGAATATATCGCAGACTGTGTGACTCAGATTGGAGAGGTTCGTATTAATAATATTGCGTTTAAAGAACGACTTCTTTAAACTTTTAACAACCTTTGGGTTATTACAGTTACAAGATTTTCTAACAACGTACAAAAACTGCAACGTGAATTTGGTTAAAATTATGGAAAAAATATGTGATACCCCGTTCATAGAATTTGATATTTACAACGTATTTGATATTAAGGATCTTAGAGCACACGTCCGAACAATGGAAGCAGAAGCAGCGGCAAAAATATTAGAAATGTATAAGGAGATTATAATTTACCTTGTTATTGTGTACGAAGGATTTGAAGCACAAATAACACAAGTAAATATTATAGTTTATTTAATTATCAAATTAAAATATTTTGATATATTAATCTACATTAATGCTATTCTTATTACGCTATTAATAGATGGCCGACCAGTGGGTGAAGTATGTAAGAAGATTCGACCGTATTTTAGAAGATGCTCTACGTCTATCTATTAAGGCAACGATGCAAAATATGTATAAATGCGTACATGGAGACGGTAAAATTATTTCCATCAAAACTATTACCAGATACTTTTTGTTGTGAGTGGTTATGAACCACTGTGGTAAAGATTTCTGATGTAAATACTCCTTACAATAGTGGATTTCCTTTATTGGTGAATCTACCGACCTTACGAAACACAAACAGTATTTTTATACGTTATAGGCCGTTGTCTCCAGTTACATATAATTTTTACATTATATTATTGTACATTCAATGCATTTAAATATCGTCAAATTCAAATCAATATTTGTTTCAAGGAACGATGGCGCCATCGCCATTAATCAAAATGAATCTTTATCTATCGGGAAAGAGAATCGTTTTTATTCCGACCACTTACGAACTACGTGAAACTTTTACCACCGTTCTTGAGGAAATAATACACATAATGAGCACCATACCACGACTTTACGAGAAGTTCTCGCTTCCTTCTGGTGGTTTGAAACGATTTTGTGAGGTTATTAAAGTCGACACAGACAGTAACAAATTGCAAGCGCTAATTGATGCAGGTAATGTTTTGTTTCAGTGTCATATGTTTAAAAAAGATAATTTTATGTGAATAAATATTATCAAAATTACAGAGATCGAATTTAATATTAATCTCATAAATGATCATATAAATATGTGGGATCCTTACGCACATATCTGGGAGGTTGACAAGGAAGCATTTTTGGCTAAATATCTTGAAGAGAAACACAAAGCTATAGAGTTTGATAATTTAATAATAACCTACACAGACTTAGCTAACACTGTTCAAGTCCAAGAAACTGTTAATCAGGTAAACAACATTAAATATCAAAATGTATTCATAATCGCTATGTTAATCGTACGACTTTTATAAAATGCTTTGATTCCAAAGCTATATTGGAATATTGTGCCTGTGCTTATTTATGTAATGGATAGAGACAGTTTTTATATAAAGTTTGTTATACCTTTTCAGATACATTTCGTCACATTAAACTCTAGTGAATTGAAAAAATCTATAATTGCTCATTGCTTAACCTGGCAAGTTAAGTTAGGCGAATTGTTGCGAAAGATTACCGAATCGGATATTGATGTTGTATACGCGTATGTCGAAAAAAGCAGTGAAGAAGCCATGACGGTAAGTATCAAAATAATAAGCTAAATAAATACATCTAATTATGAAGGTTACAATTCTAATTCAACGAATTCAATTATTGTAACAGATGCCAACAGATTTAAAAGAACTCGCAACATCTATAGCTACTTATGAGCGCCTTATGTCTGAAATCGTCGCAATGGAACAAACATTCCCACCTATAACTGACCAAATGTCAACATTAGGTAACATTTAAGGAATCCTGTTTTAATATTGAAATGTCTTTTTTCTTGTTATCACAAATACTAATAGGATGTTAAAAACTTCAGCAAAGTTTGAAGTTGAAGTTAGCTCAGATATGGTGACCCGTCACGAAAACATTCCTATTATTTGGAATGACTATATAAATTTACTCGAAGAAGCGAAGAAGCTCTTGGAATCCAATAAAGATAAGTTTAAAACGGAGTTATTAGAGCAAGCGGAGGTAAGATGTTGAAGTTTTATATTTGCCTTCCCTTCCTGTTATCCTCATCCTTTTAACCTGCCCTCATATTTCAAACCAGGAATTTAAAGAAGCCGCCAAAGAATTCTGTGAAGAATTTTACAAAACAGCACCTTGCAGTTCAGATATAAGTGGTAAAGATGCTATGGCACAATTGAAAGCTTTCAGAGATCAGTTGAATGCTCTGAGAGCACAAGAGCAACAAATACGAGATGGACTTGCTGTATTTAATTTAACGTAATAAATTTGCGAATGCTAAACAAGTATTCATTGTATTGAATAGTGGCTCTATTTCTTATATTATCGTATGCAATAGGACACCGGTCAATCTGGATCTGCAGAAAATGGAAAAGGAGCTGGAGAAACTGGAGGAGGTTTGGGGGCTGGTCGTACAATGGGAGGATTCTTGGGAGAAATACAGAACGCAAACTTTCTGGGAAATGGAAACTGACGAAATGGAAGAAAATGTTCTATTCCTCTTCAGGTAAAAGAATTCTTAAAAATGGGACTTACGACGACATTTGAAAAGTTTGAATAAAAATAGAAACAAGTAATTTTACTTTTCAGGAATTTTAATCGTCTTTCACGACAGCTTAAAGACAAGGGATGGGATATTATAGACACCACTCGGGTTAAAGTTGATGCTTTCAGAAGAACATTGCCATTAATTGGTGATTTGAAAAATCCCTGTATGAGAGAAAGACATTGGGATCGAATTAAAACTCTCATGGGCGTGTAAGTTTGAGCAATGAAAGATATTGAAACTTATTTATTTATAATTAGAACCAAAAAAAACATTTACACTTATCAAATAAATATAGGTATTATCACTACTCTACAGCCATTTTTATTTACCCACTGATTTAAAAATTTAATTTTAACAAGAATAAGCGTGGCTTTTTGTTTTCCCTTCCCCCAATTTTTATAACAATCAAGTCTTGTGAGCTAAATAAATCAGTCTGATATTGTTTATCAATAATTGCAACTTTACATACTACTTAACGTTTAATTCGTAAAATTGAATACGCTATAATATAAGAATTATAAAGTGCTGAAGCACGAAGTTGAAACTTCGTAGTCTTGGTGTTTACGTATACTTAAATTACAGTGAATTTGACCAAACTTCGGAAGATTTTAAATTAGAATTGATTATGCGTCTAAATTTCCAAGCGTACGCTGAGGATATTGCTGAAATATCAAACGCTGCTACAATGGAATTAAATATAGAAAATGGTTTGAAAGCGATCAGAGAGGTGTGGAAGAATACTACTTATGAAATGCAACACCACCATGGAGACATGTATAGGATTAAAAATGTCGAAGACGTGACACAGGTTAGTAAAATATTTAAGCTAGAAGTTCGTTGCATATTAACCAGTAGGTAATAGATATGACAATCCGCCCGGTCTAGGTTTGACAAAAAATCAATCGTTTTAGTTTCTAGAAGACCACCAAGTGCAACTTTCATCTATGAAGTCCACAAAATACGTGGAGCCCTTTATAAAAGAAGTCGACTACTGGGAAAAGTCATTAGGATACGTCGCAGAATGCATAGAGGTAAAGACACTGATCTTTCGTTGAGTAACAAAAGTAAAAGAGTTTCTATTTTAGTAATACATTTTTTATCAGATATCTTTACAAGTGCAACGACGCTACCTCTACCTTGAAATCATATTCGGTGGCGAGGATATTAGAAAACAATTGCCAGAAGAAGTAATAACGTTTGATGCATTAACGGCCGATTGGACTGACATTACTATGAAGTTAGTAAATTACTGTTAAGAACTGTTTTTTGTAAAAGTACGTTTGTTTATAAATTCTAACTTTATTTTTATTAATCTGCTTAGTTACAACAAAGACCTATAATCGACTAGTAATATGTACTTAAAAGGTGTGCCAAGATGACGTCAAATGGTAATTGCAATTGGTATGATATACATTTAAAAAATATATTTGTTTGTAGCATGAATGCTGGAGTCAACGCAATCGAAGCGTGCATGTATAAACCGGCACCATTTTTGTATAACAAGCTCAATACAATGGTCGATAACTTAGATGGAATATTAAGATCGTTAGAGAAATATCTTGAAACAAAAAGGCAGATATTTCCACGTTTTTACTTTATTTCTAATGATGATCTTTTAGAAATTCTGGGTAATTCCAAAAAACCACAACTGGTACAGGTACATCTCAAAAAATTGTTTGACAACGTTAACAAGATAAGAATTGATAAGGTAAGTTTAAATATATAGCACTAAATGAATTTCTCAATATAAGAAAACGTTTTTTTTTAAACAAAAGTTCACCTTTAGTAAAAATTATATACAATCATTTTAGGAGCTAAACATTATTTACTAGCAACTCTGAACCGCGAAACCGTTAACGTAAATCATTTACAGAGCAGAATATTTTTTAGCTAGAGAAATGTTAACTTATTTAACTTATGTAATCAATAAAACAACAGTAAAAGTGAATTGAAGTGAAGCTAGCAAAGGAAATTGAAGATTTTTGAACGTGCATCAAAATGTCATTTAAGTTTGACAGCCCTTTTTAAATGTTTACAATTTCGTGTTGTGAACGTGCATAATTTTTAGTCAGTTATTAAACGGTTGTTTTGTGAAAATTACGCTTGATTACATTAATGTTTCCAAAATGTTGAAGAAAGAGGACATAGAAAAATGTCACTTTGTCCCTCTAAGTTCTTTGGTAAGTCAATTTAATATACTATTAAATAGTATATTTATATTTGTAACACATTTGATTGCGAAGAAACATTTTTTCCAGGAACGTGTTTTAGATATGGTAGAAAATTACAATCCAGAACATGACCCCAGATGCAGACGCAATTTACTACAGTTGCAGCTGGAAGGAAGTTCTACAGAGAACAATCAAAGACAGAGGAAATGGAGACACAAGTTACATGCGGCTATGAGCCGTGCAATATACTCCCACGATTGGGATAAACTTTTGTACCTATTAAAGAAGTCCCCTATTTGGGAACATGAGAGTAGGAGACTGGACCAACTGCCTATTTATGCAAGAGTAAGTTATTAAAAACCCCAAACTAAGTAGATTTGGCAAGATTGATTACCTAACTAATATAATTGCTAAAGTTTAGATAGATGGATGTTTGTTAGGTCTCTTTTAAACCGCTGTATAGATCTCGATTAAATTTGGCATAGATATAGAGCATAGTCCTAAGGACCCTTCTCTAAGTATAAGGAAAGGTTGGGAAGGTGGATTTGACGGAGACATTGATATGGATGTCAATGTTTTTTTTTTTCACTAAAAATATACTACATTTGGTATAAGTACATTGTTATTGTTACTCATTAATCAAAAACACATTTCACAAGCTTACCTAAAATAATCTTTTTATTAAGAACTAGCTGTTGCTTGTGACTGTCCTTGTGAAATTAAAAAAATATATAAAACATAGCTTATGCTACATGCATACTCTATACATAACTTATAACTTATAATTTTAATGGTGAAAGAATTTTAGAAATTGGCCTAGTACTTTTAGGGCTATCTCAATATATATAAAAACATTTTTTCTTTATAATATTACTAATCTAAATAATATTAAAGAAAATATATTTATCAAAAATCCTTGTCTGCTATTGTTTAAAATGTTAATGGTAAATGTTTTATTTTCAGGCAATGACAATATTGTTAATGAACCATCCATATGCCAAAGCTCAATCTTTGCTCAGTGAATATTTCCACATGGTGCTGTCATGTCGCTCCGATGAAAACAAGAAAGCACTTTTTAAAGTTTTATTATCTTTAACAGAAAAGCTTCATGGGAGAAGTTAGCTATTTATTACTGCAATTTTTGTATGTTTAAACAATACTCATATAACTATTTATTGTGCAGCTCTTATGTGAGTCATACTTTTTTTGGTGACTGCATCACACTTCTTCAGGGCGAGGGTTAATGGTGTTGTGTCGCGGTCACGTCGCGCCTCGCACTGCAGTGCCGTAGAATAATTAGTTATAAAATGTCTCATGAAAGTTTAAATAATTTAATATTTATATACCTTAAACTATAAATAATGTATGTTATGTTAACAGTAAGATTAAATTAATTGTAAGAAAAATAATAATATTTTTTTTGAGAAGCGTCTTTTATTTCATTTTGTATTTATTATTTATTTATCATTGTTAATTTTGAAATCTCACATTGTTATGATTACAGTAAAAACTTAGAATATATTCTTCAATTGGTTTCTAATATGAAGAAAAAGCAAAAACAAGCAAGCATTTTGTATGGGGAAGGCCTATGTCCAACAGTGGGCAGAGAAAGGTTGACGATGCAAGCATTTTTGTAAGGTTTAAATGTATGTATTTTAGAATGCAGTCGGCCTCCCTATAGCCAAAGCTATGATATCAGAGGATGGAGAGGTTATTGAATGGAAGCACAGTGTGTTGCTGGATGGACCTGCTGAGTTATGGCTGTTAGGCTTGGAACATATGATGAGGGTAGTTTTAAGAGAGGTGAGGTGGAAACATTTCAATCTATACTATTATAATAAAGCGTAAACACACACTTCTTTGTTGCCCAAGATGTCAGCAATTACAGCATATTTTTGAATCATTCTTTTTATATTAAAAAACCCAGCACTTACGTCACACTTTAGACTATATATTTTCACGTCATTAAACATAGGGGGTTAATGTTTTGGATAAAAACCCTAATGTGGGAAAGAGACCATAAGTTGCTGCCAACATCAAGGAAGCAAGATTGCAAAGTTTTGTGATGTTATGTCATGTCATTTTGACATTTGCAATTGATTTTTTAACACGTGTAAACAATAAAATAACATTATCATAAGTTTATGCGGATGAAGTCGCAGGGGAACAGGTAGTCTATAATATTATCAAGCTTTTCTTGGAGTCCTAAGTTTAAGGAAAGAAGGAAAATTTGACTTTGCAGTAGTTTTTTTTACTCCAGAAGAAACTGAAATAGTTAGATATTAGATTGTCCACTTGGTTCTTATTGTTTTCAATGAATTTAGAGATTAACCTTTTGACCACCGTTTCTTAATAGTCTTACTAACTCCCACGCTTCCTATAGCAATTGATTCAAACTCGCTTGGCGCTGAGAAAGTGTCGATACCAGAGAGAGCAATGGATCAACGACTGGCCAGGACAACTTGGCATCACCTGCAGCAAGGTTGGCATTACCAAACTATCACCAAAATTGAATTAACACATTGACTGCCGACAGTCACAAAGAAAATAGCGTCTTTGTGTTGTGTAATATGTATGTATATATATATATGTATGTATGTGATTTATGTAAATATAAATCATACTAATATTATAAATGCGAAAGTTTAGATGGATGGATGGATGTATGTTAGAGTTTGTAGCCTAAAAGGCTGAACGGATTTCGATGAAATTTGGTATAGATGTAGAGGATAGTCTGGAAGAACACATAGGCTAATCACTTTTTTTTTAATTCCACGCGGACGGAGTCGCGGGCGAAAGATGGTACTTGTACATCAGAGTATTTTCGATACTAAATTATTGGGTACTCTATTAAATTACTACAATATTACGAATTAGGTATAACAGAAAGTTTTGTGTGTGGTTAATTAAAATTAACTCTTTAAAACTGACGCATTTTATTAAGATCCAATGGACTTCAGACTGCACGAGGACTCTTTGCCGCTGTGAGATCATGAAAGAGAAGAAACCAATGAAGAAGTTGAGGAAGAAACAGAATCAAATCCTCACGACGTTGCAGAACATGTCTAGGAAAGAGATCTCCAAGATACTGCGTTGTAAAGTCAACGCCTTGTGTGTTATTGAGATACATTCGAGGGATTGCGTCGATAAATTGTATAAAATGGGTATAGCCTTACTTTTTAGCTTATCTGTTACTTGTAGCCTCATCATCACCAGCTATACGTCCCACTAAGGTGCTTAGAGCCTACCCACTACCCTAAGTAAGGATTGACTAGGTTGTAGACAACACGCTGGCCTTCTGCAGGTTGACTTCACACATGTCTTTGAATTTCTTCGCCGATATGTGCATGCTTCACGATGTTTTTTGAAGTCACATTTATTTTGTATGTAAATATAGTGTTTGAGGTTATATATCTCCAGGTTGCATGACGGTGACGGCATTCGAATGGTTCTCCCAGCTGAAGTTCTATTGGGACCGCGAGCGCGAGGATTGCTACATCCGACAGACTAACACCAGCTTCATCTACACTTACGAGTATATAGGGAACTCGGGACGACTTGTTATTACACCGCTCACTGACAGGTGATCTTACTAATATAAATGCGAGAGTTTAGATGGATGTTTGTTAGAGTTTGTTACTTAAACTGCTTAACGGATCTCGATGATATTTGGCATAAATGTAGAGGATAGTCTGAAAGAACACATAGGCTATTTTGTTTTTTGTAATACCACGCGGACGGATTCGCAGGCGAAAGCTAGTAGATCCGTCCGCGTGGTATTACAAATAATTATATTACTAGTAATTCTAGGAGCCTGGTGGTAATGAATCGACAAATTTGTACTGGGATTTTTCATAAATAAATGCTTTGGTCAAAAGACTAATGTTTGGTTTGAAAAATTGCGTTGATCCATCTTATTCTCCTCATTTTCCTTTACTCTTTCTAGTACGAAGTTAATATCAAGTTACGAGAATTTTGTTAATATAGGTGGCCATTGAGGGACTCAAACTTACCTCCGTGACTGTCTCTAGATGCTGGATCACTACGGTTTAGTTGTACACGAGAGTTACAAATATGATGCTATGTTCGTGTGTGTCTGTTAGGTGCTACATAACGCTGACAACAGCATTGCATCTATACCGCGGCGGCAGTCCTCAAGGCCCGGCCGGTACTGGCAAGACGGAGACAACCAAAGACTTAGGCCGTGCGATGGCAAGATGGGTTGTCGTCACCAACTGCTCTGATGGCCTCGACTACAAGTCTATGGCGAAGTGCTTCGCTGGTTAGCAGATTTAAAGCGGGCGCACACCTTTGACTAAACTGTTGTGCGATTGTCGATTTCGCAGTCAATACAACTGTTTAGTTGCAACTAAAAACCGAGTGTGCGCACCTCCATATAAGTTCATAGGAATCAGAGTATAGTTTAGTCAAACGTGTGCACTTTTAGTGTTGTGAAATGTTTTAGAACAATTGAGTTTTTGTTATTTTTCTGTTAGTAAATTTCGTTTTTTATGGATGGATTTAATTATTCTATTATATCAGGCATAGCGCAGAGTGGCTGCTGGGGCT